GGGAAAGAGAGACACTTGGCATCAACAACCCCACTTAATTTCACTTCTTCCTACCTTGGAATGTGTCCGGAAATTTCACTTATCTGTCTTTTCTGTTAAAGACGCCAGCTTAGACATAGATTCAATGCAAACATCACCCCCTTCTATCAAGCAAGTCAAGTATGTTTGCCTTTATCCTATGCTACTTGCTGACAAATCAATACAACCCAATGCAGCCACAGTGGGAGTTTGCATCAGACCTTGTCTACCTTGCACGTCTTATTACTGCTTTATCCTTGACTGCCATAGGCCACACAGAAGGACACAGCCAAGAGGAAAAATAAATATTATATCTACAAGCAGGACTAGATAACAGATCATGCTAAATGAGCTTGAAGAACACATTTATGTGAAAAAGTTCAGCTGCTGCCTTCTGTCTCTTTGCAATCACAGCCTAACTGTGTGTTTATTCCCCTCCCCTTCCCAAAGCAGGTTTTCCTGGATTCCTGCAGCGGGGTCCTAACCCTGCTGCTAGGATACCCCTTGGCTGCTATAGTCTCACTATGGGTGCCACAAACCTGTTGTTGCTCTCTCTACCATGAAATACGGGCTACAAAGAAACACAAGTCTGAGTTAACCCCCACAAGTAAATGCAGTTGATAAATCTGAAGAGATGAATGATATTGTGAAATACTGCAGGTCGAAAGCCCCATATTCTTAGCATGTACAGAAAACCACAGTGGCTGTTTCAGGCATACCCTGAATAAGAACAGACAAGAGAGAGTAAGTTTAAGTAAGTTTTCAAAGTTTTGGAAGCCAGGATTCAAAACTTTAGAATAATCATTTTCTATTTTTTCCCTCAATGGGAAAAAGCAAAGATTTATTGTGCAGCAGAGAGATCCTTGCTGTTACACAAGCTACATGTGCTCACTATTCTTTTTCAGCAAACTGTACTGAAATAATAGGGAGTTAAAATAATATATATATTCTGACAGGAGTCACATGCCATGCTGTAAAATGCAGAGAGTTTACAGGTAACTCCCTCTTTGACCCAGCACAGATATATTCCCTTCCCCTCCTGAGGAACTGAGATAAGATTTTTCAACGTCTACAGCCAGAGGATGAATTCAGAGGGTCTCTGCAGTGCAAAGATCGAAGGGGGAGGCTGTCACAGCATTAAAGCTGGGCCTGGAGAAAGCACCTCTCTCAGCTCCAGCTGCACCAGGGTGGCAGGATGACGTGGCACCTCCAGCTTCCCCGCGGCGCCCTTCCTGGGAGCGCTCCCAGCTGTGCCCAGCAGTATCAGCAGCAGTGACTGGGAGGTCTGTGGACCAAACACGAAGGGCTCGTGTTAGCCCAGTTATCTTGCCAGAGGTGCATGAGCCAGGAGGTGCTGCACGTGGTGGTGGCCTCTTGGCAGAGCTAGCAAGGACTTCCAAGGGGCGGTTATCCCAACGTGACTTGACCTGCTGCGGGTGGTACATTCAATCAAGAGGGTGGTGAAGAGTAACTGAGCCATTCCTGACAACAACTGAGCCATTCCAGACAACAGAACAGCAAGGAATCGTCTGCCATCATGAGAAATTTCACATCTTATCTACAAGTCATGGCTCGGGAGTTCAGCAAGGCACAAGGGAGTCCTCTCACTAACCAAAAATAAAATTACTGCTTCCCAACAAGTAACTACACTTGGGAGAAAGAAAAGTTGACAAGTTTGGCCACTTAACTACAACCAACTTATCTTTTCCTTTCACTTCTCCAGACTGAACATAGCCAGCATGCCTATAAAGAGCCACATTAAAATTAAAAAAAAAAAAATCAATACTAATTTGTCAGTGAGAAACAAACTCAGAAGGGAAGTCAACTGTTCCAGAGAAAACTCAGAATAATTGTCCCCATTTTCCTAGATAAAAAAAGAAGAATTTATTGCAAAAGTTCACCATTTCTCAAATGCCATTCCCCTCACACCCCAGAAACCAAAACATTGAATGCTGGTGCTAAACTGACACTGCACGGGTTCTAGAAGGAGCGCAGAGTCACTGTTATTTTCTTTTTTTTGGTGGGTGGCGGGGGGAAGATCTCAAGTTAATTTGAAAGAAAAAAAAAATCACCCAAACTTATTTGCAGGTATTTTCTAGCAAGATATTTCCAGTTGCACACAAACCCTCCCTCCTTTATGACAGAGTTTTAAAAATGTAAGCCTGTATGTGCTCTAGTTTTCATCTTGTTCAAAAATATTGGGGATTTCTTTTTCTAGGAAGAGGAGAAAGCAAGGATAGAAACAGGGAGATCATTTTGATCCTACACACAAAACATATATAAAGCATATATAAAAACAGAAATAATATCCTAATACGACTCTTTTAGTCAGCCTTGTTCAAAATACAACTAGAAAGGGAATCCCACCTCAGGAGAAAGTGCTGCAGTGCGAGTAAGGAGAGCAGACCAGCGAGCCTAACTCCAGCCTAGAGCACAGGCAGGCAGCAGCCACAGCAAGTGAGACCCACGGGCCCACACAGCTTCTCCGTGATGAGCCCGAGCGCCAGGTGAGAGACCTGGCTCGTGGCTGCCTGGCACGCAGTCTCACAGCAAGCCTTGCGTGGGAACAACCAGCCACAGCTTGCAGTGACTCACACATGTACAGAGCAGACACGCAGGGATTTCTGCCAGCAACGCCCGCGGGGATCAGGCCCTGCACGGGGCCCATGTGCGCAGAGCAGAGCTGCCCTGGGCCCCTCCGCCATGGCAAGGCTGGGCAGTTGCTATGGAGCCCCTGGAGCTGCTCCGCAAAAGGCCCGTGCTAGAAAGGGCCAGACCAAGCAGAAATAATTGGTGGACCTGCGGGAACAGGGGTTCCCAGCCAGCTGGAAGATCACTGCAATAACAAAGAGCAGCTCGACCCAAAAGCCTGTGGCAGACATATGGCTGCGCTCTGCAAACGACCCAAGTCTCAGTTCTTTCCCTTTCTCTAGCAGCCAAACTGCTCCAGCCACTGGCAGCCAGCATGAGACCGCACTTTGTCACATAAGAGCTGGCGATGTCTTTATCAAGTAGCACTAACATTTCAATACCTAAACAACCATTCCCTTGCCTCATTATGAAAGAGGCAAAAATAGAGACCTGGGGCCAATGAAAGAAATGTCACACACTCCAGTTTTCTGTTTGACTGAGCAGGAGAGAGACACACAACATTTTTCTGCTGCCAGCAACGCTCTACAAAGCAGACTTTCAAAGGAGAAGAGCATGGAGACATTGGTCAGGTTAGAGTGCTGCAAAGGGATGCAGCAGTCCCTGCATCCCTTTTTAGGCAGAAAGCTCTACATGGTTGCAGCAGAGGGATGAGTACGTGTTTGTCCCCAAGCTCAGCTGTCACCCAGGAGGCCAACCTATGGCAAAAGGGACTCTCTACACAGCAGAGCCTGACTGCAGTGTGGGGCACCAGGGCTCATTTCTGACAGCTCCAAGGGAGGGCAAAGAAAATACATTTGGCTTGTGACAGGGTATGCGCTGTTAGTGGTACTGCTTACTTTTGCAAATATTCATTATAGTCTTTCATTTTAGCTTTGCTTGATACCTCGTGCGTCTCATTGCAGACTGTGGTTTATATGGTTTTGCCTATAAACAGAAAACTGGGCCCGATTTTGAGTCAAGACTTCTTGACTTCTATGATCTCTACAACAACAGACTGGAAATTATGTAATAGCTTCACTTCTCTTTTTAGGATATCAAAGCTCTCATTGAATTAAATGAGCAAATACAATCAACTCACCATCCTTCAGCTGCCAATCCTGACATTGTAGTCAAGTCTTCAGGTTGGTGAGGTATTAACTCAGCAACAGAGCTTCTGCATTTGCAACCCATGAGTGCTGGTAGATGGTACAGTACCTAGATATGGAGTTTGGTCTCTGTACTTCAGGAGAAGACCAGTTGCAGTTAATATACATAAACTAGACAGTGCTGCTAAAATGATCACATGTGAAATGCCAGCGCTGCCATTCTCCTCTGTGAGTTTCAGAATTAACAAGCCCCGCAAGAGTGAAAAGAAATATTTCATCCTTGTCAAGCCTTTGGCAGGATCAGGATCAGGCAGGATCAGGAAGACACTGCATCTTTTCAATGCTTATTGGTTTTATATTTCAAAAATTTTGTTCACAACCATGAAGCATGAAGATGAAGGAAGCTTGTCTGAAAATTCTAGGCTGCCCCCAGGAAGTCCCAGTGCCCAACAAACCCCTTTCTTCCAAATCCCAACATTACCTCAATTGAGTGCCCCCAATTACAAATGCTATGGCACAAGAAATGGAAAATGATTAAGTCAATGTATCACATCCAAATGTTACATGAATCAGTTAGTTGTTTCAATTGTTGCTGGGGCACTTAATGCTGCCTGCCTACTCTTGAGAATAGGTCTTTCAGAGTGCACTGCAATCCAAAGGATTTTTCAGGATGCATTTTTTGTACTCAGGTTTTCAGGATACAATTTCTCAATGGGCTTTGACAGACGTAGGAGGAAGCTGCTGCCAAAAGATGCAGTCCCACTCTTCTCCATACCCTGGTGACCCTCTGCCATCATCTCTTTGTCAGAGGTGCTGAGCATAATGCATGCTGAGCACAAGCCAAATGAGGTAGCTCAACAGACTGATAACTTTTTTTTTTTTTCCAAGTTATTTTTTAGTCAAAATTTTATCCTGATTCAACTCTACGGTCTTGGGTGGCGGCTATACAGCCTTAAATCAGCTTGCATCAGCAGTGACATGAACCCACAGACAAATGAAACAGTTTTGTCAGCCCTTCTGCGCAACATAAATAGTCTGTTTCCCCTTTCCACTGCCCTAGGATTCTTGCCCTTCAGGAAGGAATAGTAACTGGTGTGTGCTGTCAATCTAGTGTCAGAAATATGTCTGCATTTTAGCTCACAGCAAGAAAAAAGAATGATTTCCTGCAATAGCCTTAATCTCGCACTGTTTGTCTCATGGCTTGCCAGCATCAAGAGTTTTACTTCAGGCTAAGTCTGATAGGTGCCAAGTGACTTTTTTCAACATTGAGTTACAAAAAAAAAAAAAAAAAAAAAAAAAAAGCCCTGAGGTTAAATTTTAGCGACCAGTGACTTTAGTGGGAGAGCAGCAGCTGCAATGGAACTAGTGCATACATGCTCAGTTATTTGTACAAGTGCGAATAACACAGAATAGACAGCCTGACAGAAAAACAGATTGAAGCCTGCCGACCCTTATCTTGCCAGCTCCATGAAGCAGAGTCTGCTGTTCCCCTGCAACAGGGCAGTGCTAAGGACATGCATTGTGAGTATGGCCTTTGAATGAAGCAATGTAGTTCTGCCATTAAGGTGAGAGGACACATTTTTTTGGCCTGCCTTTTGCAAAAAACAGTGTTGGGGATAAAGTTCCTCTCCCAGGACAAGCTCAGACTTACTAATAGGGATGTATTCCCAGTCGAGATGTCCAGCATCCAGGAATGAGCAGACTACAGTCTAAACAGCCTCTTCAATCACTAGCTCTCCTGCTGAGAGGTCTAAGGAGTATAAGCGAATGCCACTAGCCCCAGCTGGACTGGGACAAGGTTGAGGTTTACAGTCTGGAGGAAGAGAACAACATATCCAAAAGACAATGCCTTGAGCCATCCAAGCCCCAGGAGTCTCCGGCTCATCCTGCCCCGTGACCCAGCGCAGCTGCATCTTATTCAGAGCTGGAACCCAACCAGGCCTCTTTCAGTACACACTGAATTTTTGAAAGCAGATAACAGTCATATGTCAGCACCTCACATCCCTGTGCAACACACACAACTCCGTGCACTATTCAGCCTTCCAAATGCACAAAGGTGCCTCAGGAAATATTCTACGTTATCCAGACCATGTCTGTCACTGGGGTTGCTGGATACCTGATGAAGCCCTTCCAAATCTCAAGCTGTCATGCACACTTAGTTGCAAAGTTTCATTTGTCTGTTTTCAAATGAGTTGGAGCAGTAATGGATTTGCACTGAGGGCAGACAAGCTGCAGCCCGTGCTGGGTGTCTCCTCGCCTGCTTTCACCAGGCTCCGTGCACATTCGAGGAACTGGCCTGCCCTGAAGCAAAACCTGCCGCTTCCTTCCCGTAAATGACTTGCACACATAGGGCTGAAGAAATGAAACGTAACTGCCCCCAGGAAAGGGATTTGTTTCCACCTGATAGCACAGCATGGGGAATTTTTTTAATTCATGTAATCTAATACTGATAGGAAACGACAGCAGTCTCTTTTTTTTCCACCTCTTCTAAACTGTTGGCACAGCAGACAGCAGCATCAGCCACTTTCGGAAGTACTGATATCCTCTGTGTCTCTCTCTCTTACTCAAGAGGAATAAAACCAACAACACAAAAATCCCTCGTTTTCTTCCTTTTTTTTAAAAAAAAAGATTAACATTACTGTGAACAACTTGAATATTGAAAGCCACCAACATTCTCTCAAAATCAACTAACACACCCTTTCATGTGGTTATATTTCAACCTCTGTCTGGAGAGCATCAGTAAAAGGCAATAACAATTATCCATATTTGTGATCGATTATGCCTTTCCTAATCCTTCATCTTTCACTTTTTTCACAGATTACAAGTGTACT